TAAGAAGATTTGGATCTCAATTCCCGGGGGAAAAGAAGATCTTTTGATCAATGGTGGGGGCTGCACGAGAGCCTATAGGAGGACCATGGTGGAGGCCTTGTGAGAGAGGGGAGAGATATTTTTGGGGGGCATGGGGGCGGGCGCATCCCGTGGTACACACGGGGGGACGCATGGCATTTCGCCCACCAACTTCCTCGCTGCTTTATACCCCGCGCCTATAAAGTTTCTGCCCACTGCGGCTCTGCTCACCCCGACGATACCTTCCCCTCCCCTTCCTTCCTCCCTCCCCCCTCCACCACCGCCGCGACGGCGACCCCCCAGCCGCACGCCGAAGCGACCCCCTCCGCCCCGACCGCGTCTCTCCAGCCCTAGGGTTTCCGCCTCCTCTCCGCCCATAGCCATCTCCACGCGGCACGCCGCAGCCCCGCGGATTCCTCCCCCCTTTTCGAGCTCAAAATTGCGGCTTTTCCGCTCGATTCTCGGGCACGAATCGGCCATTGATTTCCTCCGGTTATCCAAGGTTTTCCCCTGATTTTTCGCGGCGCGAGCGGGGGCTTCCCGAGGCGATTGGTGCTCTGGAGCGGTCTCTTGTCCGCCGCGGGTTCGGGCTGCGGCTGAAGGCCTCGCCGATTTTTCCATGAGCGTGGGCCGCGCGAGCTGCCGGGGCCCCGGTCGTCGGGGCGCGCGCGCGGGGTGCTCGTGTTAATGCATCGGCTGACCTGCGGCTGCAAGTTCGCCGACCCCGACACGGTCGTCCCCTCCGCGGCGGCGGCGTCGCATCGCGTGCGGCCGGACACCATGAGCTGCGGCAGCGACGGGTGCAGGGACGGCGGCAGCGAGGGGTTCGGGCGGTCGCGGCCGAGCAAGGTCGCGGCCGACGACTCGGTGGAGCCCGCGCGGTGCTCCGACGCCACGTCGCCGCCGGGGTCCTGGATTGACAGGAAGCTGCTGGTCGATCCCAAGATGCTGTTCGTCGGATCCAAGATTGGGGAGGGCGCCCACGGCAAGGTCTACAAGGGCAAGTAAGTGGATGAACCTTTATGACAATAACCCGTGCATAGTGCTTCATACATGTTTCAGCCGAAGGTCGGCAGTACTTGCATCAACTGCCCCAGCCAGATTTGAATTTATGTTCCTCAGCTTTAGTACTAGCAGCTGTCCAATCCAAACTAATGGGTGCTATTGCAAAAAGTCCAGGAGTTATGTATCAACGGAGTAGGGGGTAAGAGTTGGTATGATTTTAATTTGTTCACCCCCAACTGTGCCTGAATGCACAAGGTGTACATACCTACACAGCAATCAGCAAAATTGCATAATTTGCTTGAGAGCCGCTTTAGGGTTTCCCATTTAACCGACGGCAGTAGTACCTCCAATAATCTGATATATTTTGTGCTTAATTTAGCCATGCCAGCATGTTGCAGATATCTGCTATTCCTGCTATGGTCAAGGATTCTGAAATTTGTTTTAGTTTGCGTCTTGTTCTAGTACTTGCAAAGAGTCCATTCTCAAATTTGTTTATGTTTCAGTGTACAACACGGGTGTATATTAAAAAATAAAACCATTTTCATTCTGCTGTTAATTGTTGATGTTCTCACAAGTTGAGCTGTCAGCCTGACATTCTTGTCCCCCCAAGGAGAAACCTATGCTGTTTAATTATATTCTATATGTTGTGGTTTTGCTTTGTCCATGTGGATACTCTTACTCTTGCTGGCTTGCATCAGTAATTAACTAGTTTGTATGTCTGTTTTCAAATAGGTATGGTGATCAGATTGTAGCCATAAAAGTTCTCAACAGTGGCAGTACCCCCGAAGAAAAAGTAACACTTGAAGATCGTTTCATCCGAGAAGTAAATATGATGTGTAAAGTGAAACATGATAATCTTGTCAAGGTACATCCTTGCCTGAATGGCACATTACTGTGCCTAATCCGATTTTTGCATAGCCATATAACTAACTGAAACCATCAGTTTTCTTGTGACCTTTTTCTCACAAAAAAATTCTGCACTTCTGTAGTTCATTGGAGCCTGCAAGGAACCATTGATGGTGATTGTGAGTGAGCTGCTACCAGGGATGTCGCTGAAAAATTACTTGAACAGCATCCGGCCCAGCCAACTAGATATGCATACTGCATTAGGCTATGCACTCAACATAGCTCGTGCAATGGAATGTTTACATGCCAATGGAATAATACACAGAGACCTGAAACCTGGTATGTGTGCTTGGACTGTTTTACTTTTCCTGTTGCATCTCCATTTTTTTTCCTTTATTGTACACAGTAAGTTGCTTGTATGTTGGTGTAGCCAATACCGGGTGGCATATTTACCAAGATTTTTTGGAAGATGCCAAAACATGGGTACACATATATGCTTTAATGTTCAAAGCTAAGAAATTGTATCAGGCATATATTTCTGTGTCAAAGGCAAGAGCATGTGCATTGAAAGAAAAGCATCTTGGCCAGTTAATCATTTAAAATTTTCAGTAAGATGTTTCTGCATCTGATTCTTGAATTTTCCTGTCTCCATATCCATGGTATCCACTTTATTCCCGTTCATGTTTCTGCCACAATATGTTTCTTTCGCCCTCTCAGTCTTACCCTTCTTTTTTACTTGCTTTACCTTCTAGGTTCTTCCAGTAGTTGTTTTGTTCCTTTCTGTCAAAGCTGTTCTGTCACCCTGTTAATGCTTTTACAGTGTCCTAATAAATGTTCTGTGTGCGCAGATAATCTGTTGCTTACTGCAAACCGTAAGAAGCTGAAGCTTACTGATTTTGGACTTGCACGAGAGGAAACTGTGACTGAAATGATGACAGCTGAAACTGGGACATACCGATGGATGGCCCCAGAGGTTGTAAATCACTCTTTTCTGCACTAGCTAGTCAACATTAATAAATTATGAACTGAAGCCAGAACAAATCTAGAGTTGATGCTTGAAATTATACTTCTCTTTGTATGCCCACTTGATAATTTCCTGGCTGTATTTTCTAGAGTTCACTGATTTCGGGACCTTCTATACAAAGAGAAATCAGATGCTCTAGCACCGATCTCTGTGATTCCAAAACCTGACTCGTTGTCTTATGCTTTTGCAGTTATACAGCACTGTCACACTTCAACGTGGTGAAAAAAAGCACTACACAAATAAAGTGGATGTGTACAGCTTTGGCATCGTCCTCTGGGAGTTGCTGACCAATAAAATGCCATTCGAAGGCATGTCGAATCTACAAGCTGCATATGCTGCTGCTTTTAAAGTAAGTATATGAGACTATCATTTTGTTACAGAATGATACCACTTGCTAGAATGTTGTCTAGCAATTATAAAATCCCGTGATTCTCAATGAGTTACAGCTCTCCTGTTTCACATGTCTATACTGGCAGGCCATTAGTAATGTCTCTTTACTGGACAAGACTGTTACTACTGCTAAAGTAACAGTACTGTCGATGTTTTGAAGTCTTGGCTAAAGAAATCGCTTGACTACCTGAAGAGTCAATGATAACAAAATTTTGAGACAAAATGGCCATGCATTTGTGCGAATAAAAGGCTTTGTTCTGTATATTATGCTTTCATGGGAGCATATAGGTACCTGCTCCATTGCATATGCATGGTTTCAACTCTATGAACACACCACTGTAACTTTTGACACTGTTAATTTCTAAGAAACGCTTGTTAACACCAACAAACGAACTGGTCATAGTTTATTTTACCTTTTCAAGGGATGTTTGAGCATAAACTTTTTTTTTGATGACCCCATTTTTTGACACTATTTTCATTGGAATCCTCTAATCTTACCCATATTTTCTCTTGTCCACAATGGCAGCAAGTACGCCCAGCTTTCCCTGAGGACACCCCCCAGGAGCTCGCGTCCATTGTGCAGTCATGCTGGGTCGAGGACCCCGCGATGCGGCCCAGCTTCAGCCAGATCATCCGCATGCTGGACGCTTTCCTCACGACGATCCCTCCACCACCCCCTTCGGAGCAAGACGAGGACACGACGGAGTCGGAAGACACAACGTCATCGCTGAGCAGCAAGAGCTCCTCGGTCTCCTCCATCGTTTCCCGCGCGACAAGCAAGCTCTCGGTCGTCCGCCATCTGTTTGCCTCGAAGAAGGGCGGCAGCAATGGGAAGGCATGATCCGCGCCCGCCGATCATGCCCCTGAGACGTTTTTCCTTGGTGCTGTAAAGGTGTTAGCCTAGGTTAATGATGATACAGTGGTGGGGATGATGATACAAGAAGAGGGATCTTGTTTAGCCTAGGGTTTAGTTTGCTTGTTTTGTGTTTTGATGATACGGACGAAAAAGGATGAAATGCAACTTGTGCAAGCTATGTGATGTATAGCTGGCGGCTGCTCTACCATAAACTTTTGTATGCTGCCATTGAGCTCAATCCAATCCCCTCTTGTTTTCAGTTTTGCCCTTTGCCAATCCTGTGATCCAAACAGACTTGATAGGGATTGATCAATGGATCTCGGAGATGGTTACTGATCACTGACTCTTGAGCTAACATTTTAATGATTACATTGTTGGGATTTTCAAACTTGACAAAAAATATACCAATTTGTAGGTTGACCAAGTTACTCACAATTTCTTCCCTGAACAGAAAGTTACTCAGAATCTGTAATTTTTGCAGTAGTTGATATTTGTTGGATATAAACGAATAAATGCCCATGAATTGTCAATCCCAGTGGACTAAGAAATACTCCCTCCGTACCATAGTATAAGAGCGTTTTTGACACTAACTCTCAAAATTTAGTTAAAAACTCTCAAAAAAAATTGAAGCATTTTTGAACCTTATACAATACAAAGATGTCCAAACTCAAGTTATTTCAAATCACTAGTGTCTTTTACAAATTCTGTGTGAAATTATTTCAGCATTTTTGAAAACGAAACTAGCACAGGTGAGGTGATGCTACCACTCTACCAGCACACAGCGCACTGCAGTCCCGGTCAGCAAACCTTCCCCCGCACGGCCGCACCCCTCCCCACCCCGCCGAGCGCTCCGCGGCCGCCATGGCGTCTCCTCCGGGCCCGGGGTCTGCCAACCGCGCGCTCTCCTCCTCGTCGAGGGGGCCGCTCTCGCCCTTCCCCGGCGCGGCCCGCGACGCCGTCCCTTTCCTCCGGCACCACCACCCTCCCGGCGGCGACTCCGACGGCGGCGCCTCCATGGACGAGTTCGACGAAGACGACGACGACGACGACGACGATGAGGAGGAGGATCAGGATGCCGAGCTGGCGGCCCGCAGCTCGCTGCAGCGACGCGACTCCTCTCCAGGTGAGTCAACCCAACTTGCTCCTGTAAATTGCTAGTACTACTACTATGCAGCTTCTGGTAGTACGAGATGAGCTGAATTTGTGAGAAATCTGAAGCTAAGATATATCTCCATATGAACATGATCTCCCTCCAAGCAGCGAAATATCTCCATTTAGGATTTTTGCGTGTGTATCATCTGATTTATCTGAATGAAGGTGATCACTGACACTGTTGCTTGCTTGCTGGCTCACGCAGCAGGAATTGGGCGGCCTGTCACGAATGGGGAGAATGGGGTGAGGCAGATACAAGAGGGGCAGCAATGGCAGCTGTACAACCACGGAACCGAGCAACACGGCTGCGCTTCGTCTCGAGGGGATGAAGAGCCTGGCTCTGTTCCCAGGGAGATGAGGGTGGAGGATGGGTATGGGGTCATTGGGAGAAGAGAGGGAGGCCCTGCGTCTAGCTACTGGGACCTGCTCAGAGCACACCTGTCCGACCCGTTGACGTGAGTAGACTCCGCAGATGACTGCTATCCTCTTGAGAATTTAGTTTTTGCTTGATGCTAGGTGTTTAGTTAGCTGTTTCACCTTCTTTGTTGACTGTATGCAAACTTCCAATATTGATATTGAACATACTTTCAACCATTCCTTTACGGCTCTATCCGCTTTGTAGGCTTTTGGTATTTTCCCACCAGTTCATATAAATGCAAAATGTCACTGAATTTGTCGAACACCAAATATCATGTCTGGTAGCGGTAATAATGAACATGATATCTGGGGGGAAAGAATCTAGTATCTCATCCATTTATATTCCTGTGTCTGAATTTGTAGAGGTATTCTCATGGACGACGCAATGATTTTGTCATGTGGGCATTCTTATGGAAGTAGTGGGATGCAGCATATCTACAGAATGGTTTGTCCAACGACCCTTGCTGTGTAATAGTTTTCCAAACTTTTTCCTTAGTTTGTTACAGTGTAGTTTGCAGTTAGATATCCTGTATCCTCCTGCTTGTTGCTACATCTCTTCGTTTTAATGTTAGGATTGCCTTTAATCATAGCTCCTTCTTTTTGAAATACTAATTGACTTGATGTGCTTTTGAAGCACAGTGTTTTCCTTTTACACATGTGTTACTGTTCTTGAAATAATAGGACTGCACTCTACTGTAGGGGCCTCCTCATCCACCAACAATTTTTTGGTGAAAACAATATGCGGATGTGCATTCAATAGAATGAAACTCTCATTTCCATTTATGTATTGTGTTGTCCTAAGTGAAACTAGAAGTGTTTCGTGGTTATCCATTTGCTCTCAGCTTGGGTAACCACATTAGGCATACTTTGCTTTCAAGGTAAAGCATCGATTACACATGTCCTACTGTTCTAGAATAAATGGAGTGCACTCTACTGTCAGGGCCTCCGCATTCCCCAACTACTTTTAGGTGAAAAGATATAAGATGTGCACTCAATATAATAAAACTAGAGGTATTTCTTAGTTATCATAAATAAAGTTCTCCAACTGCATTTATTTTTTCCATTTATAGATTGTGTTGTCCAAACAGAAACTAGAGGTATTTCATAGTTATCCATTTGCTCTGTCAGCATGGGTAACCACATTAGGCAAGCTTTGATTTTCTAGGTAGAACATTAATTTGAGACAATCCTGGAAGGTGGTCAACGTGATATTGCAACCCTACTAACAGAAGGATTTTATGAAGCTTCAAGTGCATGTGAAAGTAACAGAGAATTGTTTTTGTCCTGCTATGCAGAAAGCTTGTGGTAAATGTGGTCAGCCAATTACCGAGGACTCCATTCGGCCAAACCTGGGTATGGACTTAAAATTGCCAGGCTATTTCGCCATGATTTTTGAAGTTTACTTTCAGCTATCTCACAGAAATCGGTGCATGTCATATATACCGGATTTCTTTGCTTCCTTCCTGTCCTGTTTTCACCAAGATCTCTAAGGGTTCCCTTTTTGCTGGCCATGTTTTCAGCTCTTGGCCTTGCAGTCCAGGCATTTAGACGCGAGGAAGAGTCGGCAAAAACACTGAAAAGAAGAAGAGATCGCATTGAACAGGTATGCACTTTTTTTTCAGCTTATATTATTCCAGTTCCGAACTTGGACATGTGCGTGTGTTACATGGTGTTCTTAAATCTGTTCTCTCTGTGAAATGAGGACAAATGTGGCAACGATGACCTGAATCCAGCCGAGCTTTCAAGAGGCAAAGGTGTCCAGTATCCTTTCGCTGTCTTCGACCGGGTGATAATCAAGGTAGGTATCTCTATCTCTCTTTACTCTGCCAAGCATATATGCTTTTGTTCTTCTCCAGTCTTTTCCTATTCGCGATGATGACCAGAACAAACTTCCATCAGGGAAACAAGAGGACCCCGGAGCGGTTCGTGGGGCGCGTCGCGGTGGTGACAGCACAGTGCTTGAATGGATGGTAGTAGCTTTTATTCGTTCACCCAATCATCTTTCGAAACTAAGCGTGACACGTACCGTTGTCGAGCAGGTATGTGGTGAAGACTTTGGACAATGCGGAGAGCGTGAAGCTGCAGTACCGTTCGCTGGCGAAGTTCGTCGACGGCGGCGGCGGTGAGCCTCCTGTGGTGGCCTCCAACAGTTCCCAGAACGCAAGCTGGTTGTGACTTGGAAGGTACAAAAGCAGATCATGCTGAGTACAAGCAGTTGCTGATATGTACTGAGAAGCTGCATCATGGTGTTTTAGATCAGAGCAGAATCAGATCTCCAGGCCCCCATCTTTTGCTGTTTCCAGGAGGAGGCAAACAGTAGAGTGAGGAACATTATCCTTTTTTGGTAGCCAATCACAGTGTCAATCTTTATGGTGCTCCTCTCCCTTTCCTTTTTCTTTCTGTGGCAGCAACTAGGTACCATGTGGTGTCAGTCAGTGTCCTTGTGATGTGAGGCTTTGTAGAATACTACCATTCCAGTACACCCTTATCCAGGCTGCTGTGATAAATCAGGAAACACAACATCACAGGAGGGAAGCAATCATGGTGCCACCAAAGGGCAACCACCATCCCAAAAGTTTGGTGAAACAAGCATTCAGGATAAATGGTTCTTCTTTTTAAAAGTAAGAACAACATTGTCTTGATAAAAGCACCATTTATTGGGAAACAACAACATTGTCGTGTATGCTTTGTTTTAGGGCACACGTGGGTGGGTACTCCCGCCCGGCGCGCCTCTTTTGATCTTGTCGGCGTGCCTTCTCCCCGACTTCTTCACCGCCGGTCCTCCCCTCGCTTTTTTTTTGCGGTGGTCCTATATGCCTCGCTTGTCACCCATGCTTCGTTCGATTCCTTCTACCGTAGTTTTGGGCCGTGATTCGCTGCACAATTAGCTAGCTCTCGGTGCCACCGCAAGGGCCTAGATAAGGAAATACAACATCAAAGGAGGAAGCAAGCATGGCGAAATCGAAGGGCACAACCAATACATAGGAGTTTTGGTGAAGCAAGCATTCAACATGAATGGTTCTTTTCTAAGAACGACACCGTCTCAATAAAAGCGTCATTTACACTTGGGTTCCAAATGGGGAAGCAATCAAGGTGCCACCAAAGGGCAACCAACGACAGAGGAGTTTGGTGAAACAAGCATTCAGTACAAAATGGTTCATTTTTAAGTATAAGAACAATATCGTCTTAATAAAAGCGCCATTTACCGAAAAACAACAAAATTGTCGCATATGTTGTTAAGACATGCTTCACTGCTTTAGGGCGCACATGGGTGGGTACTCTCACGTGGCCGGCCTCTTTTGATCTTGTCAGCGTGCCTTCTCCTGGGCTTCTTCACCGCAGGTCTTCCCCTCCTTTTTTCTTTCTTTCTTGGTGGTCCTATATGCCTCGCTTGTCACCCATGCCTTGTTCGGTTCCGTCTACCGTAGCTTCACTAGCCACGGTTCAACACACCGCTAATTCCCGGTGCCACAAAAGGGCCGTGGATAAGAAAACACAACATCAAAGGGGGAAGTAAGCATGGTGCAAGAAGATGGCACACCAAATACACGGGAGTTTGGTTAAACAAGCATTAATGATAAAATGGTTCTTTTTTCTTAAGTAGGTAAGACACAATGTTGTTTTAGGGCACACACGATAGTTCTGTGTGGCATGCCTCTTTTAATCTTGTCGGCGTGCCTCTTTTTTTGCGGTAGTCCCATATGTACTTTGAGCGCACATGTATGTCTAGACATGCTTAGTTTTCGAGCGCACATGTGTACTCCCGCGTGACCCGCCTCTTTTGATCATGCCGAGCGCCTTCTCCCCGTCTTCTTCAT